ACTAAATAGTATAATATACTATAATTTGGCACGGAACCCCGCTGCAGATCTTCTGATGTCAAACGTGTTCTAGAGATCTCCACCTTATTGTATGTTAGGTATGGTGTATCTCGCTTAGCTGTAAGCCCTGGAGGTCCAGGGCTGTGTTAAAGGGATTAATATACTCCGTACGGAGTACATAGTTGGAACAAAGTGCCGGTAAATAGAGAGGTACTTATGTCTTCGAGTACTTCGTATCCAATGTCAAATATATTACTTGGTGTACTCTGTATGATCTTTAGCTCAAGGGATCTGATCATGCAGGCTCTTGAATGAAGAAACAGGGATATTCCACGTGACATATGCTATCTTCCAAGATGTATCTCTTGATATCTCTTGATATCTCTTGATATCATGATGATCCCCTGAAATAGAAATAGGAGAAGTGGGTCGAACTGCCGTGTTTCTTATCGTGTATACTATTAGGTCATAAGACCATATTGGACTGTGCTTCAGCCCAGTACGAGAATAATATGATAAGCCTACCAAAATCTATTGTCATTCGTTCAATTTAGATATATCTTTTGCCTCAATCTCCAAACTCTGTTAGTGCGCGGTCCCGGACCGCGCCATCGTTTTCATGCGGGGTTTTCAAGTTCCTTGTTCCTTGAAATGTCTTAGATATAATAGCATATCACCAAATATCATCAATGTTCACCTTCCAACACATTGCCTACCATGCGAAGTTCATCCGATGATGCCTCCGCCAATGAGGCATTGGCCCGTATGGGCTACAAGAGTGAATTACCACGAAACCTCAGCATGCTGAGCATCCTCGGCCTGTCCTTTGCTATCATGGCAGCCCCCTTCGGACTGAGCACAACCCTCTACATTACCCTCGCCGACGGTCAATCAGTCACCATACTCTGGGGATGGGTCTTCGTCTCCCTGATCTCAATCGCTATCGCCGCCTCTCTCGCCGAGATCTGCGCCGTCTACCCCACAGCGGGAGGCGTCTACTACTGGAGCGCGATGCTCTCCACGCGCCGCTGGGCACCATTGATGTCCTTCATCGACGGCTGGCTAACCCTTGTCGGCAATTGGACCGTCACACTGAGTATCATCTTCTCCGGCGGCCAGCTAATCCTCAGCGCCATCTCCATCTTCGATGAATCCTTCGTCGCCAACGCCTGGCAGACCGTATTGATGTTTTGGGCAGTCATGCTCTTTTGCGCCCTAGTCAACATCTTTTTCTCGCGCTATCTCGACCTCATCAACAAAGTCTGCATCTTCTGGACAGCAGCTAGCGTCATCATTATCCTCATCACGCTCTTGACAATGGCCGATGACCGTCGAGACGCGGAATATGTCTTCGCTCATTACGACGCCTCCCAGAGCGGATGGCCAGATGGATGGGCCTTCTTTGTGGGTTTGCTGCAGGCGGCATACACCCTGACGGGCTACGGAATGGTCGCCGCCATGTGCGAAGAGGTGCAGAACCCACACCGCGAGGTCCCCAAGGCAATCGTGCTATCCGTGGTAGCGGCCGGCATCACCGGTCTATTCTATCTAATCCCAATCCTGTTCGTGATGCCCAACGTGCAGATGCTGCGCGAAGTAGCCAGCGGCCAACCGATCGGTCTGCTCTTCAAGACAGTGACGGGTTCTGCGGGCGGTGGCTTCGGCTTACTATTGCTGATTCTGGGAATCATGCTTTTTGCCGGTATTGGATCCCTCACGGCTGCTAGTCGATGCACGTATGCATTCGCGCGTGACGGTGCCATCCCGGGCTTCAAGCTCTGGCGTCGCGTGAACAAAAAGCTAGATGTGCCTGTGTGGGCTATAGTGCTCTCGGCAGTCGTGGATGGCTTGTTGGGATTGATTTATTTCGGTTCCACGGCTGCGTTCAACTCCTTCACTGGTGTGGCTACTATCTGTTTGTCGACCTCGTACGGTCTACCGATTTTGATTTCTTTAGTCCGAGGCCGACGCGCTGTGAAAGATTCCACGTTCTCCCTCGGTCGCTTTGGATTTGCCATCAACTGTATCACTATTGTGTGGATCGTGCTGGCTGTCGCGCTCTTCTGTTTCCCGGTTACCTTGCCTGTTACACCGGAGTCAATGAACTACGCTAGTGTTGTTTTCGCCGGATTTGCTGGTATTAGTATCTTCTGGTACTTCATTTATGCGCGTAAGCACTTTACTGGCCCTCCTGTTAGCAGTGACGAGGCGCGCGCAGCAACCGAGCTTATGACGGGTACGCCAGTTGATGCGGAGAAACCGTTGGAGACGATGAAGAAGTTGCCGAGCGAGTAGACGATTGTATTTTATTGCTACAGATACTTTTTAAGAAACAATAAAAAAAACAATTCAACTTACGATGTTAGGATGTTAACATGTTAGAACGTAATTTCGGACAATCACAAGTGCCTCGATCGCCGAGAGCCGCGGTCCAACACAGGCCATTCTCCAGATAATCTTAGACGCTTCTCTCCCACATTTTAATTGGATTGAATCTTTTTCAATCTGGGGAAAAAAAGACAACATTCCGGGGAAAATCACAGTCCGAGGCACAGGGGAATCCTAGGAATCTCCTATCGGAACAACTCAACAATCCCAACTCAATTCCACACCACTCCCTTTCAGCATCTCTCGAAAAACCCTCACTATATCAAATTACTATTCACAATCTTCTACGCTCCCTATGAGGACCCGCGCAAGCCGATGCCCAACCCCGCTCCCATGAAGACAGGGCAAAGACCGCTTATCGCGTCATGTCGGACTCTGTAGGTGCGTGTTGACATGTTTGCGCCCGCATTCGGATTTCATTGACAGTCTCCCGTCGCAGATCGAGTCTTTGTTCATGCCCTCAATACCGTGAAGAGGATTCCCCGGACCGGCACTGCGCGACCTCCCGCTGCCGAGCGGTTGGCACTATATGGCTTGTATAAGCAGAGTATGGGTGAGTGTCAGCGCCTGGAAACACAATGGGGAACAATGGGGAACTGGAAGAGCTAATATTCGATCAGAGGGGGATGTGGAAGGTGTAATGGATCGACCGATTGGGAATACGTCGGAGGTGCACGCGGAGTGTGAGAAATGGTATGTTCTTCGCGGGGAAAAGAAGTCATTAGATGTGGATGTGGATCTTGCACTCTCTATGAACATCGCTCTTTTCCTCTCTCTACATTCAACCACATAGTAACAATGTCTTGTCTTCTAGGGATGCATGGTACGCGCAACGCGACATGTCGCGCACCGAAGCCAAACGCCGATACATCTCGACGCTAATCGACACGATGCACCAATACGCCTCCCAAACCCCCGAAGCGTGCGAGCTAGTCGCGGAACTCGAGTTTGTCTGGGACCAGATCAAGTACAACGCCGCCTCATCGTCCGATTCCCCACTGAATACCGTCGGCGTCCCGCCCTTATCGCGCAGTGCGTACGGGAGTATTGGGGGTCGATTAGCGAAATCGGAGGAATATGACCGTCCTGATCGACGGGATGATGCCAGTCGACGGGATCGGGATTCTCGTTTACGGGTTCTTAGTCCTGTGAGTCAACCGGAGGAGGAGGAATATTACCGACGGCGGAGGGGGGATCTAGATAACGGCGAGGGTGGAGGTCGACATAATGAGGATGAGGATGAGGATGATGAGGAGTTTGAGGAAGCTCGTGATAGCTTATACGAAGAACGAGATCAAGACGACCACGACAACGATGACCCGGATACTAGCTCCAACACACATACAAATACCGAGGCCTCCTCACATCGTCCCAAACATCGTCGCAATCCTGCCTCTGGTATTAGTACAAACAGCAGTGGGACCGGGCTCCTTCCGCGTCGAGATTCCCATTCCAATTCCGAGCCACCGAAAGACAGTCGCTGGCGCCGTCGTGTCGAGCAGGCCTTGACGAAAATGACGGCGGAGATTGCTGCTGTGCGCGAGCAGATGGAAGCTCGATCTGTTGCGCAGCGCCGTCGGTCTGGTTTCTGGGCGTGGCTGAAGTGGATGATTTGGGTTGCTGTGCGGCAGATCTTGTTTGACATTGCTATGCTGGGCATGCTGCTTATTTGGATGCGGCTGAGAGGTGATCGTCGTGTTGAGCAACGGCTCAAGACGGGCTGGGCGGCTGTTAAGGCGAAACTTGCGACGTTCAAGCGACTGAAGATCGTGGATATGCCTATCTTGCCATAAGATGGCTTTTTTTTTCTTGGCTGTGGCCTATTTCTTTTCTCTCCTTTTGTCGGCCTTTGACTCCTTGCTGCATTTTCGGCTTCGCATTGGCATTATTCTACACTTGGCCTATTCCCACATCATCCCTACTCATCTGCCTTGGTGCTTTTGTTTACTTTCTTGTGTCTATTTTTCTTTTTCTTTTGTCCAGTATATATGGGTTTCAATTTCAGGTTTTGGGGTTTCTACCTCTTCTACTTCTGTCGGCTTTCTTTTCTTGGGATGTGTGATGTTGTGGCTTGAGGTGGCAGGTTAATTATATCGAGTTATAGATGCAGACATCAGTCTAGATGATGTATAGCTTTGATTTGGTGGAGGCTTAGATTTCAACCTTAGATCATCATATATACCATTTTTAGCTCTTTACTAGAATGTAATATGACTATGCGCTTTCTATGTACATACCTATACGGCTAATGCGGGTATGGCTTTCCTATTTACAGTCGCACCGCAAAAGTGCGGGAGTTCCTATGTCAATACCAGTCATGTGACGGTCGTGAGATCGTATTTTTGGGATTTTAAAAAGCCTCTTCGCGCAGTCGCCGATGTGCTTCAGCCGCAGGGGCGAAGTACATGCCACAAGCAAAAACTATTTTAGAAATAATGCAAATGCGCGACCTGGCGCAGCCTTTATCTAATCTTGAATTCATTCAGTTACCTTTTTCTTATTCCTCTTCCTTTTAACTTAGTACGAAGACATCTAGATCTATACACTTGCCACTTCTCGAGCTCATCGACCGACCCTTACGACTTCGGGAATTGCTTTTTACCCGAGCCATTATGAATTCTTCTGCGCCCTACAAGTGCCAGAGTCCATGGCCTAAGGAAATATCGGACGACCCTGACATCACTGGCTATGGGGTGAGTTTTTGAACATATCTCGATCAAGTTATCTGAAAATTAAAATTCAATCTCAGGTTGTTACAAACTATGTCGCGACCGCGGGGATAGCAGTGTCTCTCATCCTTATGTACTTTTTTGTTATCTATGACCCAGCTCTGGATCCCTTCAGAAACGCAGATGAAGACCCTCCAAATCCATTGTTTCGCCCGAATCCAGTGGACACGATCTTTCTACGGACCCTAAGAAAAATACCTAAGCGCTTCCTGGGAGACCTGAAAATCCCTTATAATAAGCTCGAACGAAGCTTTCTTAGGGTGAGTAATGATAGTCTTTTGACCGAAAGTAAACTGACCGGATGCTTTCTAAGTGTATCCTCGCAATGAGTGACGTCCAGCTCATAACTGGCCTATCAATTCTTATTAGTGGATTTGTACAACTTCGTCAAGGATTGCCATCTTACCACTGGATGGCCGTAATTGACCTAGCCTGGTTTTCCAGCATAACTCACCTTGCTTGCTTAACACTACTGCATAATTACCTCTACAATCACTCTTTGGAGCGCATGTTACGGTTTATGGCCATGGCCGGTCTTGCTATACTCCTGGTTGTAGCTCTTTCGTTCACCAGCACTTACTGGTGGGCCAGTACCACTTCCCCAATGGGATCAGCCTTTTATTCCGATACCGAGACTGCCACTCATGCTGCGATATGCCATCTAGGCGTTGTAGGTTCAATACGGGATTCCGAATACATCACAATGGTTTTTTCGATGCTCTTAATCATGTTTGGGTTTACCTCCCGCGTGGCTAAATTGTACAAGGTCATTTCTGTTAGCTTCATGGGACAGGCCAAAATCTGGCTTAGTACTTGGGCGCGACGTCTATTACGCGTTGTTTTCACATGGTGTTGCTTAGGTAGCTCGCGTCATGGCCTAAAGCGAACCCTTCTCTACCGACCTTTATTGGCAGTCTTCTTTTCAGCCCGTTTATTCATAGACTTATGGTCCTCTATGTTACTTGAGGTGAGTTTCTTAGTGGTCGACCTAATCCCTCTCATGACTGACAGTAGATGTTCTCAGGTCGTGTGGTTATTTATCGGATTTACGTGGGGAACCATACGTCTAATGACACTTTTATTCGATACTCGGGACATCATGTCTTCCTCTTCGATGTTAAGAGACTCCAATGATGAGAATAGTCATTGGGGGTTCGGCCAAGTCGTGGCTATCGTTCTTTTAATTGCACCTTTAGTCACATTCCTTGAATTGTTCAATAAAGGTACTTCTTTCACATTCTATGTTAAGAACCGCCAGATCTATTGGTTAAACTACGAAGAATTCAAACTAACCAATAAGATACTGAATCAGGCGGGACGGCAGATATTAGCTGCGGTGATCATGTTCACGAACCATTACCTCTTGGGCATCAACCTTCCAGCTTGATGATATTACCTTTGACAAATTTAGGTGGTAGTATCCCTAAGGACCCAGATGATCCTGACAGCGACTGGAATGATCATATCGAAACCCTTGGCACGGCAGTGATTTATATCACCACCATGTGCATTACTTTTGCTGGCATCATTCTCGGGATAGGCGCTTTCGAGTCAATCCTGACGGGATTTCAGGCTCTCATGATATCTATTTTCATGGCTCTACTAAACGTCTTTGGGTTATTACTTTTCTCATTAATGATTGAATCGGATCTTTCTGGAACACCTTCCTGGGGACGAAAGCTCCTTCATCTGGTGAATGTCCAATTCTTCGGCCTAAGTGCCTTTTGTCCCTTCATCATACAGAGCACGATTGGTGTATTTGATGATCATGTTCTTTATTCGGTCCGATCCCTCTCTTGGATTGGGAATTACTCTCTCATAATTTTTCCTATTTGTTTTTACATATTATGTCTTGTTATTATCCGCTTTGTGAGATAACGTCTACGAGAAAAGGCCGCTTTGTTTTCTCCAATTATGGTTCTTTCGATAGCAAATATTAGTGACTAAGCTCGGAATAATGTACAGGGCATACTAATACCGAAACAGGTGTGTTCCTAAGAGCTCGGCCACCTATCATAGGAACGCGGTCGGCAAAACCGGCCTCGCCGTCAATCTCTATAGGCTGAATAAGTTCGAGTCAAGAAACGAATGCTATAAAAGCATCTTACCGAAGCTTGCTAGAATATTGACTCAGGTTCAACCGACTAGGTGCCACTATTCAGTTCCGAGAAAGATCCTATAAGAGCGACGTGGCGAAACTGATTTCGATCCATCCTGTATTAAGCATTGCTACCAAATCATTGGATAGGTAGAAGCAAAGTCGTCATCGAGCTTAAGAGGCTGCGAGATGCTCGTATTATTGGTACGGGTATTATATAGTCTTCCGCAAAGCTGATAGGTATAGCGTTATTGTAAGACCCTCAGATAAGATCTAAGGGTCTTATAGGTCTCGAGTGCTAGGCATTATCCGGTACATATGTGCTTTCCAAGTGCCCTCCATTCAAGACTATGTAGATTTGATAACAATTCAAAGCCTTCCAAGGTCAAAATAATAATTAATGTCAGCCTCGATATCTCTATCGATGTGGTTCTCCCGGCTCCGTATCTTATATCGCCAGTATTACTCCTCAGCAGATATCATATAGTCATAACTAAGACCCCCGTAGCGCACGCTAACTATCTTAAGCCAAATACTAGTGCTGCTTTCAAGACCAGTCCAAATTCCAAGATGCGTCATATGCGAAAGCTGTGGCACCGGTTGGAATGAAAACTTGAGCTTCCGTTGTCGTTGTGCAAGTATAGCCGTTGATTGGATATTCGCCATACCTAGTGCCATAGCTATATTGGCTTCTAGCCTTGCCATCGTCGGCACCAGCACTATAGATCGATGGAGAAACTTCCGAGATTGGGACAGTCAAACCCAGTTTCTCATGTTGAACAGGTGTTGCCGTCGCAGCCACCATAGTCGCAACCAAAGCCACAAACACAATCGTAAACGGTAACCTCCCCAGCGCCAAAAGAGCCGAAGCCGCAGAAACAGCAGTCGAAGTCGAAGTCGATGTTGAAGTTGGAGAAGGCGGCGGTTGACGTGAGATTGTATTATTAGCAAAGTTGGTACCAACCCATGCATTCCAGTTCTGGATATCATCCAGACAGGATTCCGAGATTGATGCACCCCGCATCTCAGCAACAGTCTCTCCCCGACGAGACACTGTCACGACAACCTGTCCCGTGTTACCATCGAACGGCACGCTACCATGATAAAGACCGATTGGACCGTGAGGCTTATTCTTCCACTTCCCGTCCTGCACAGTCCCACCGATATCAACCGACACCTCCACATCCTGAGCAGACCGCAGAAGTACAGAGTAGAAGACCTCGTCTTGTAAGACGTCCGTAGGCGGGAACTCCTTCTGACCGTGCGTCTTTGTATTACCCATAGTGCCACCACTGGTACAAGCGTGCCCAGGCGACTGACGGAACCAAGCAGTGACGCCCTCGGTAGTAACATTCGCCCTGGCCCCCTTATAGACATCTATGATAAAAGGCAGGAAGTCACGCCAGCCGTCATGGGGATGACCAGCGGCATAGTTGTAGCTCGCATTACCGATCTCGAAGGTCGCGTATGCACCCTCATGCAGCGGGCCGATGTAGTGCGATTCACCGTAGTCATTCCACGAGATGATCTCCACAAACTCCGGCTTCAGAGATATCACTTGCTGCCACCGGTCGTACCACAGATTATCGCCATTCCAGATCCAGTTCTTGCCGTAACCGGGCAGATTCGTGTAGAACCACGGTGAGACGGGCATCATGTACGGCAGATCGCCTGTGTCTTTGAGCCATTGCATGTAGGTTAAGTCTACATGTGTGTTTATCGGGTCTGGGCCTTCGGGCCATGCGGCCCAGGAGAATAATCCGTCTGGAACGCCTGGGGCGACGGCGAGTGCTTCTTTTGCGCCTAGGGCGGACCACCCCGGTACGAGGAAGCAGTCTGTGTATTTTTTGATCGTGGCCCAGTCTGTGGCGTTGGAGGAGCCTTCGAAGGTTGAGACGAAGGGTTTGCCCTTGTGTTGGTAGTAAGCTCTGTTCCTTCCGTATTTTCGGAGTAGGCCGATCACCTCGCCTTCTGGCCAGGCGCCGTTGCCTACGTAGTCAAATGAGAATAGGAGTTGGAAATCTAGGGCATTCGCGGCGGTGAATGCGTTTGCTAGGGAACGGTTGTTTGTCGGGAAGTTGTATGCGATGTTTAGGGCAAATGCGTCGACGTGGGCCTTTTGCGCTGCTGCAATGTTGACTTCCCAGTCGTAGACCGTGAAGTTCTCCGAGTTGTATACCTAGGGTGGTAGAGGTTAGCAGAGATATAGATCGTAGTTGAAGGGCTCTACCATGAAGTGGGCGAACACAGCCGCTGCTTGGACGTATTGGACGCCTATCCATAATGATGGAATCAAGAATATTGCCGACTTCATTTCAACCTGCGTGTGTGGTTCAGACTACAGAGCTAAGGAGCACATAAATATAGAGATTTGCCAGAGAAATAAGGGCAGCTTTTGTAGAAATTATGTATGTACTTGTTTTCCTGTTGCACATGCACGGAATTCGGTGGAGAGTTTGATACCTGCATCTATCCCTCTCAAGATGTCTATAGATAGATGCCGGAGGTCCGCTATTTGTACATCGGGATCTAAGCGTACTCTTGGCCTGTCTCTCTCTTTGTACTTTCCCATATCTGGGGTTTCATATTTGGGGCTTATAACTTGCTTTCTATACTAAAATGCCCTAAAATACCTCAGATACACTTCAATGACCAAATCAGCCAATGCTGTTGATCCATGCTGTGGCAAGCGGAATCTTGAACCTCAATAAAAAGTTACTTAGATATGTATCGCATTATCTTGAAGACCTAGTTACACCATGTAGTAAGTCGGAAGGCCGGAATTAGGGCTCAATTACACACATTGACCAGCAGCCCAAACCCTGCAACCGAGTCAGGTGAAAGATGATGATGATTATGGATTCCTTCGGATTGATCCGTATAGAATGTAACAATCTGTCATTTCAGTTCGGACTCTGCAGAACGGTTGATGCTAAGTCTCTGTACCAGCCCGGAAGAGTGCTCAGTCCAGATCGGTATTTTGAGGAAATATCATTAGACCAGATCTGCTCAAAGCGGTGGTATTATGATTATAAAGCTTGTTATGCTGAGCATGATATTATCCGTAGATATGTTTGGCAATGACTGAAGCACTGACAGACGGTAGAGTCGGCAGTATGTATACCTCACCTAACGAATCTTCATGTTCCACACAGCGCTACCTACATGTATACTATCACCAATCCCCTAAAGTGGAAGTCAATATTTGGTCGGCTGTCGAGGGTGGGTATATTCACACAGGCCTCAGAACAAGAACCGGCCATACCCGGTTCTTATGAGTTGGACAGAGTCAGAGATCGGAAGCGAAACGTAGCTGGGACATGTTATATACACGGTGAGACTCTGCGGTGCATGGTGAGTCTGAGTGATCTCCAATGTATACAAGATTTCCCGCCGAGGAATGTTAGTGTGATACCGGCATGTAATGTGCCTAGTTGCTTCACTGCAATGGTTACCTACATATGCATCAAGCCGAGGATATATTCGAGCCAGCAGTCAGCATTTGGATCCGTACTACTACCAACTCGAAACCATGCCATTGCCAACTGCAATGGGTTGGAAAACATATTGCCCCATCCATGTGAGTGAGGCTTGGAGATTGAACAGAAAATCATGTAACCATTCATGATGCCAAGAGATATTTACACAAACATAGACCGGATTTACGGTCGAGCATCCAAATAAAACAGTGATATAGAAAAAAGACGTTGCCCAGATTATGAGAGGGAAGGGTGAGGGTGCAATCAAGGGGAGTCTAGAGAGGACAAAGTATACCGGGAAAGTGTTTACCACTGGGGGCCGGGGTACTGTGCGTATTTTTGCTTAGGGCGCAAGTGAACAGGAACCTGGTTCTCGGGGGCACCAGGGAGGGTCTTCTTCAAGCCCTACAAGAAACAAGAAAAGTGTGTGTTAGCTCTAGCCCGGGGGTGACGGCGGATGCGATGGATGCGGGGTGATTGAGAGCAAGAGAGTGTGTATCATACCAATTTGTCGAAGACACAGGTGTTAAGCTGCATCTCAGCCCTGCGGCACTCCCAGAGCTGGTGGTTGTTGTTCTCGAGACACTCCCAGTGGGCCTTGAACTGGCTGAGGCAGTGGGTGTTGATGTCCTTGATGCTGTGAGGGGTCAATATCTCCTTCTCAAGTCAAAGGTGAATGACAAAAGCAACATACACGCTAGCGGCACAACGCGTCACCTTCCGACCCTCCTTCAAGCAGTCGATCTCCCCGCGGCCATTGGCCTCGTCCTTGCACTTCATGAAGTCGTCATTGAAGGCCTTGCAGCGGTCTCCAATGAAATAAGCTGCACTCATCAGGGGCGCAGATGTGGCACCGATCTCCTCGACCTTGGGAATGTGATCGGGCATGGGAGTGGTGTCCACCAGGACGGTCTGGTTGAAGCTGTGCGCGGAGGGATAGAGGTTAGCGTCTCACATTGAGCTTGACAAAGAGAAACCGATAGAAATGAAGGTGCATACCGAGCATCTCTTTGGGCCATGGCGACGGTGGCTTGTCAGGACGACTGTGAGGGGAAAGAGGTGCAATTGAGACGATACTTGGAGATCGAGAGCTGCGGGTTGCGGTGGAATGAAATTTGGCTCGTCTGTGATTGGCTGACTTAGTTGTGCTTAGGTCAGCGTAACATGTTGCCCAGGTGCGGTGCTGGTATACAGGCGTGTATTACTGTTGCATTTGGTTATTGAATATATCAATGAGACAAAAAACCAGATTATAACAATAAGACAGAACAATAGATCAATATCAATTCATTATTTATTCA